GGCATCACCCCGTCACCCACATCCGCGCGGAATCTCCGGTCGGAATCGGAGTCGTTCCGCCAGCAGACCTGCATTCGGCGCCAGCGTGCGGGCAATCTCCTCCCCCTGCATCACGTTCGGGGGAGGGGGGGTGTCTGAACCGGACCAGCGAGCCTCAATCTCCGGCCCACGCGGTCCGGCCGGCGTCGCCTCACCACCGCTGTCGCGTTCGCCGGCCGCGCCGCCGTCGCCGCGCGGTCCTCGACGCGCCGTCGCCGTCGCGCCCGGCCCGACAAGCGACGGCGGCGACGGCGGCGCGGCCGGGACGTGACGAGGCGAGTTGGACGCGCCGGACGCCGCCCGACCACGCCCCCCGTCGCGCTCCAGACGCCGAGACATCCCGCCGACGCGTCAACTTCGGCGCGGCGGCGGCCCGGCGGCGGCAATTGAATGTTAATAATTCCGTTGGCGTCGGCGAGTTGACGCGTTTAAGTGCCTCGTGGGAGCCCTCTGGGCGGCGGAGGCCGACCTGTCAGCTGGAGGGGACCTGTGAGGGCGGGGAGGGGAAGGGCACGTGCCGCCGTCTGGCTTAGCCGCCGGGATGAGGGCGATGTTGTTAAGCTGTTGACTCCAGTGCCTGGCACGTGCCAGCCGTGCCAAGAGCTGGAGCTCCCAGCCGTCGGCGCCGCTCGAGGCACGTGCAGGCACACCTCTGTCTCCAGGCGGCACCCTCAACCGCACTCGTCCATCACCTCCACAGGCAGCGCGGGCGAGCAGAGCCTCCTGTTTGTCGCCCGAACGCCGGATTTATTCCCGTTTTTATGGAGATTGACGGCGGCGGGATTTCATCTGGGCGGCCTGGCGCCGATGGCAGCCTGTCTGCGAGCGGCATCGGCCGGCGCGCCGCCCGAGCGCCGGGCGCCGTCCCGGGTGACGTCCGCTGCCGGGCGGCCGGCCGGTGGCGCCGACGCGCCGAGAGCCCGGCAGTCGGCTCGGCGAACCGAACTCGGAGCGGCCTGCTGTGCTCCTGCCGTGCTCCCGCTGTGCTCCTCCCGCGCTCGGCCGACGGGACGCTCGGCGCTGGCGCGCGTAAATCAAAGTCAGTCGACGTTCCATGTTTTCCATAGCGATATCGACGCACGGCAGGGGCGTGATCGAGTCGTCGATGTGTGCCCGGATATGTGATCGCGCGGATGTGTGCGGCCTACCTTATCTGCCGCACCGACCCGGCACCAGCTGAGACGTTTTCGGTGGGAGAGGCCTCGCGTGCCGTTTTGCATGATCTGGTGGAAGTCCAATTTAGGCCTTGATGGGAAGACTGCAAGTGATGCTTGAATGATGGAACGTCTAGCTGATGCGGTGGCGTTGAATCATTTAATAAGCGAGCTTAACGCGCATGTGCAATATTCGAGAACCCCACACTGGAATCGTTGTTTGGTCAAAATGACGGAATAACAGCTTACCAGCTATACAGATTTGATAACGCTTGTTTTGGACGATGTTAGATTTTCACTGGAAGTGCGATTTCTTCCGAGGTATTTCTGTAGATCAGGTGTCTTAGCTGATCACATACAGAGTTACCTAAGGCAGCGACATGTGGTGGTGGTCTAATGATACCGTTAATGATTATCAAGAAAGGCTCTGACAGACAGCCGGGGATGACAACGTTATGCCATTTGGTGCTAGAGACAAGATTCGTGTCTGATTCTATGTACATGTGTAGCAGCTAACGCTCGCAGCACGGCTCGTTAGCCGCTAGCCTCGCCGGATATGCAACAGGCGGCGGATAAATGCACGGCCCATGGCTTCGTTGGTGAAGATCCTGACGCGACGACCAATGTTTGGCGTTGCTGATGGTCCCAGCGCGGGCAGGCGTCGATAAACAATTCCCCGGTTAGCAGCATGGTTGGGCGCCTCGTCCACGGAGGGCGTGTCCGCCGGGCTGGCCGGGGCGTGCAGCCCATCCGGCCCGCCCTCTTCCAGCGTCGCCCCGTCCGCAGAGCGTGGACAGCCGGAGCGCTGGCACAGACGCCCTCCCGAGTCGCCAGTGTCGGAGTGGTCAAACTTATGGGACGAGTGCACTGATTCCAACTATGATACGCGAGTCTGGCGCGCGCCGGAATAGAGATGAGAAAGAATGGCGTCTCTTTTCTCAGTCAAGAGATAATGCAGTGGGGCTTGGAAGACCGTGAGGAACAGTGGTGGCCTGGGAAGCTTTAGCAAAGCCGATGGGACTTAAGCTCAGCGTCGTGTATGGTTTCACTTTGTTCGTACTGGCCTCTAAACATAGCGTATCAGTACAGCGCAGCTGCCTGGCTAAAGCCAAACGTGAAGCCTCTTCCATCAATGCTAACACTTGCATGAAGCTAAAAGGCAACGTCTGGAGAATTGGAATGGCAGCGACATGTTTTTGAATGAGTCAAGCAAACGAATTTATGGTTCATGAGACCCAAAGTTGACGTGTTTCCCAACACTGATGAGCTTTGTGGTAACTCAGTCATTAATTATGTAACGCCTTCTGGGAATAATGACCCATCAGCATCGTGGACTTTGCACGTTGCCTTTCGGATAAAACCTAACTCTTCAAGATAATTCGACACCCGGCAAATAAGATTACGGGGGTGTATTCAGATTTCAGGCATCTCCCTGGGGCTTGAAACATGTCGATGACTTTATCTATGACTTGTAAAGGTTAAAGGTCTCAAAAAAGATTTAGTCTAAACGTTAACATGAGCAAAGTATCGCGAACCCAGTAAAAAACTCATCCCACAAGCATCCCACTTACTCTCACAACGCCTCTCTGCGAACGCGAGAACCGAAAAGACTAAGCGATTTCGAGATGAATCGAACAACTGAGATGGGGTTGCAAGTCCTTTTTTAGTTCGCTCTATGGGGATCAATTTCAGCGAAGGTCACTTCGGTTGCGATACGAACGATGCCTACGATGTTAGGGTACGCCATGTTGATTATCCACGATCCTGGAAGAGGTCCTCTCCACCTGTCACT